CTCATGCTGGCAATTTTATGTTTATTTGTGGATCAGATGTCAGGACTGTTTTGCTCACCACTGCCTTCCAGGGACTTGCATAGTGCCTGGTACATAGTAGGTGCTCAACACATGCAAATGTTACATGTATAATAGAGATTGGGACTGAAAGCATCAACTATAACACAAAAGAAAGGAATCTTCAAGGGCATCATATGCCTGCATAGAGACACGAAATGGAAAAGCTTAATAAAATGCCTTCTTACCTATTTTAAAAGAATATATCGTGAACAAGCACTACCCACTCACTCTAAGTATGAAAAGCTGGTTTAGTACCAAAATGTTTGCTAACAAATCTCACCCAAAAAACATAGGTCAGTAAAGAAGATCCATAACCCTAATCAAAATATAAAACATAACTGAGAAAAGGTAACAGCCATTGCTGTGTTTAGCAGCCAGGACAGAGCCTCTCACTAAGTGAGGAAACAGGACAATTTCTTAACCCAGTAAAGAACAGTCATTTTAAACTGCAGCCAACTGTATGTCCTACAGTAAAACACTAAAATATTTGAGTTAAATTCCTGAACAGGCCAAGGCAGCCTGCCCCAGCATCAATCACTCCTGAATCAGTGGTCTCCACCATCAATCATTCCAATGTCAGTGGTCTCCTGAGTAGTCAAAGAGATTAGTAAGACAAGGAAAAGAAATTAGTCTGAGTCCTGAACGTCAAAAGCAAGTGCATTGTAGATAATATTGTGGACAGTAAAGAATAAAAGTATTAAGCGCTCTGAGTGAGTCCACTCTGCTGCAGAAATGGTCAGGGACTGTAATGGAAAACTCCAACCCCGTGAGGAACAAAACCAACAGCACCTCGTGCAAAGCAGATCTCCATGAGTGGTTAATAAGGAAATAATGGACACAAAACCCAAGAAGAGCCTACAGTTATGGGAAAGAGTTGAGAAGAGCTGGAGAGTCCCTGGGAAATAGCTCCTATTGGAGAGAGGCTCTAGATTCCAAAAAGAGACAGAAGGAAACAGAGTAAGAGCTGGGAAAGACCGGTTTCAATAGCAACTGAAGTACCTTAAGGCCACAGGGACTTCACCTTCATAGACTTTCCCAGTCCCACTGCTCTAGAGGTAAAGCCCGGTGCTCACTCCCTCTCCTCTTTCTCACTCTCCCAGCCCCGCTAGGTCTCACTGGCCCTCTCCAGTGGTTATCACTGAAGCTCTCTGTTCTCTGAGGTCTGACCCACAGAAGTCCATTTGGGTTTTCACATAGGCTGGGAGCAAAGAATTATAGGAAGTGGGCCACAGGGGCAGGTTGTTATCACCTCAACGTTTGAATTCTCAGAGCTCCTTATTAAATAAATTGTTCTATTGACTTTACTTTCTCCAAACAACACGGCTCCACTGGGGCACAAAGATAACAGAATGGAAAACTTTCAGCAGGTGGTGTGTCTGCTTAGGCAACAGTGGGGGAAGGAGGTATTTTCTCCAAGGAGGGATTCTTCTTTCTTTGGTTAAACTTAAAAGGGACAAGGTGTCCCCTAAGGAACGTTTCATTTTCTCAGGAACCAACTTTCTTTGATGTTCTTGCCCTGAAGAATCTGAGATATTAAGGGGTGTAGGGAATCAATGGAGGCAGGCAGAAGGGGATATCTGTAATACTTTCAAAAATAAAGATTAAAAAAAAAATTTTTAAAGATTCAGTTGGTGTTCACAGTGTCATGCAGGCAAAGAGATCCTTTCTCAAGAAAAGCAGAGTGGCCAGTAGTTTGGGTTCTGTTGAAAGGGCCAAGCAAAATGGAACAGAAAAACGCCCCTTGACATTTCCGGGTGATGTGGAAGCCTTTGTTGATATTGAGAGGAGCCCCATTTATTACCTCTACATCAGGGGGTAAGAGCAGAAATCGCTCAGCTAATGTGGGTGGAGGAGTGAGTATTGGGGAAATATAAGTTGCAAACATAAATTACCTATACAGTTTGTGAGGGAAGAGGAGAACAGAGGTAAAACAGCCGAAAGGAAGTATGGAGTGTGGGAGCTCTAAAAATTTTTTAATAGACAATATGGGAACACATGTACTTTCAAAGAGGAAGATCATATTTAGTGCAGGCATTAGAATACACAGGCAGTCTGGCTACATGATTCACAGGATGCGGTACACACCCTCAATCAATGACANACACAGGCAGTCTGGCTACATGATTCACAGGATGCGGTACACACCCTCAGTCAATGACAAGAAGGCTGTGCTGTATCACCAGGTTAGCGAAATCATGGGTCTAGAAATCAAGGCTTGCTAGTAGACTCAGCCCTTTGGAGTGATTCACATTGGTTCTCGTGTGGTTGAGGCCCACATGAAGAGAGGGCTCTGGGGCACAAAAAGGGCGTTAAAGGACAGGCCCGGCCCCCTCCACTTGTGACAGCCAGGCCCTCAATCGCCATATTGATCTGGGTTAAGAAGTGCAGTACAGGTGCGCCTGTGGGGTATTTTCATCCACTGTGGTCCCTTCTTCAGAAACCTTAATCTAACCTTTGTGATTTCTCTCCAGAAGGAAAATAGTTTCTGCTATGTGCGTCACGTTGCTCCAACTCACAGTCCACCAGTTCTCACAGACGCAGTCACTTATATTAACCAGAAAAAGAGGGGTGTTAGTCCTTTTTGAGGCCTGGATAAAAACGTTTTGTCTGTGTTCAGACATGATTACAGAGTGGCCTTGTTTCTGTTGTTGTGAAATTGTTCATGCTGTCAGGGGCTGCTTTTCTCTTTACCAATATCATGTAGTACCCTGTCTGTGTCCAGTTTACTCCAAAAGCCTCAAAATGTGTTTTTACAATTGGTGTTGTTGGAATCAAGATTTAAGGTACACACCTTGCAGTGGATGGTTATGTGTCTTAATCAGTAACACTTTCCTGTCCTCTTTCTACCCCAAATAGGGTTGGCTAGTTGTATCCTCAGATGTCATTTAACATGTCCCTGGGTCTCTCCTCTTCCCTTTCCTCCATAAACTGTTAAGTTAAAGGCTTTGTCAGGTGTTTTTTTTTTTGGCAAAAATATTTTATACCTGGTCCTGTTTCTTGTTGCATCATATCAGAACTCACATGATATCCAGATGCCTCTTTTGTGACATTAAGATTTATCGGTTGATTCTGGTGTTTGCTCAGTCCTTCATTTATAAAGTTCTTCAGCTTATTTATAGTCAGATTGTTCCTTAATTAATAAGATTACATATTAATTACAAAAGGAAAAACAGGGTAACTTAATGGACAAACCTGTTGCATACCACTTGACAGGTGATCAATAATGAGACAAGCTGGCATTATATGCCTCCTGAAGTGAGGCACTGGGAACGTCACATGTCAGTTATATAATTCTTCATGCAAAAATGTACTTGATAAATTCCATCAAAGAAAACACCAGATAAGTAAAAACTAAGGTACAGTTTGTAAAATAATTGGGCCTGGTCTTTCAAATCCTCAAAGATGAATAAAGGCCGATGGCCAGATCCAGCTTAGAGAAGAGTAAAGAGAGAGTTTGAGGGTATCAGCTGGATGGAAATTTAAAAAGTGATTGCAGTGTGGCGATTGCAGGGCCAGAAGGGGCGTAGGTGGAGGAGGGTGAAGGGGGAATAAGTGGTGATGGAAGGAGACTTGGGGTGGTGAACTCACAATACAATGTACAGATGATGTGCTGTGGAATTGTGCACCTATGACCTATATAATTTTGTTAACCAGTATCACCCTAATAAATTCAACAAAAAGCAAAAACAAAAGTGATTGCTATAAAGTTACATTATTGGGCCAGTTTGTGAAATTCTGTTTGTGGACTATATGGTAGACAATAATTTTAAACCCATGTTAAGTGTTCCTGATCTTCATTGTTGTGGTTATGTCAGAGAATGTCCAAGTTCCTATGACATCCTCAAGGATATAGTAGAAAATGGTCATGACATCTGTGGTTTCCTCTCAAATGGAGTCCTCTCAATATCATTCTTGCTGAAGGACACACACAGCCCCCTCCAGAGAGAGGAGAAAGAAGGGAAGTGGGACAGAGCTTACAGTTGGTGAAGGGTCTATGTACAGAGTATATGGAAGTTGATCATCTCCCTATTTGTACAACTTCTGAGTTGAAATGTTTTCAAACTTAAAAGTTGACAGTAAGCATCATACTCACTTTTCACCTAATGTTTTGGTAGCCATCGACTGTCGTTGCCCAGGTCCGTTCACTCATTAGTGGCTGCAGAATGGTGACTTCCTAACGCTGGCATTTTCTTCATAACTGATGAAGCCTCCGATAAGGCTCCTGTGGTTCTTCTGTAAAGAACTCGCCCTTATCACAGCCACCTTGGGGATCATAAAATATTGCTCCTAAAGGGGAGATGCATGCCTGATTCTTTCCCCTCACAAATCTTCAGAAAATGACTTGCTGTCCTGTTCACGTTCGGTGGGAATCACCGAGGGGTTTTCTTTGAGTATCATCAGGAACTCATGAGTTCGCTTTACCTTTGACACATTTCAACAGACTGCAGCCGTTATTCTCTATAAAATGGTTCCATCGCAGCCAGTGGGAGCCCTTTTAAGTTCCTGCCCATGTCTTTTCGACACGACCTCATCAGCCTTCAATAGGCTCCTTGCTTCCTGGTAGAAGATGTTCCAGAGTCATCTTGAACATCCTGTTTTACACTGGACTCAGCTATTTCCCAAATGAGTCCTGGTTGCTTTCACAGGCAGATGGCGTTTAGAAGCATTTTGGCACTAGAGGGGTTCATTGCTCTTGAGTTGTTACTGACTCTAGGCATTTTTCCATGGTTCAGTTTAGGAAAAAGTTAAAAAAAAAAAAAAGTACTATATTCACAATTCCTAGTTGTTCTTAGATAGGGAGATACAACCTTAAGAGCGCACTGTGCTGTGTGTATGTGTATGTGCCTGTGGGTGTGGATATTCCGAAGCTAGCATGAGGAAGTTGCAGGTCTGTACGGACTGTCAGGCCCAACTCTCATGGCTTCTTTCTTTTTCTCTAGCTCTGTTGGCTCAGAATTCTGCCAGTTCCGGAGGGACACACAGAGGAGGAAGAATGGATGCAGGATTGCTGACCACTTGGTCACAGGTGTGTGGGAAATTATTCTCTTTCAAAAAAACATTGCTGTTCCCAAAGGACACGCCTCTTGCCCATGACCCACAATTCCCAGCCCTACTGTGCCGGCCTCAGGCTTCCCCAGTTCTCTGGGCTTCTTAGAACCAGAGAGCAAACACCTTAGGAAAGGTTTCTGTTACTGTAACATTTGTTAATTTTTTCCAGATAGTCCTCCAAGTTGAATATTAGTTCCATATTCTGTGGGGTGCTATGAAGGAAAAGAGAGATTTTTCACTAGGAAAAACATTTTTTCATTGTCCAAATATGCTTTCTCATCCTGGTGTACACTCAGTCTGTACTGGATCTTGAATAAGACTGGAAGAGTCCTCAGAACCTAGGTGTGGAAATATCAGGTCAACCGTGTGTTAGAAAAGCTGCTGAAACCATGAGCTTGAATGAGATGGTCCAGGGAGTAAGAGTGAAAGGGGAGAGTTCCAAGAACTGAGCCCTGGGGCAGACAGTGAGCCCAAAGCATGTCTGGGCTCCCTGTGCACTGAGTCTCCTTCCCCAGTCCTGGCCGCCTCACCCACCTTTCTTCTGGTTCCGTGAATGAAGAATGGTTGGCTGAGGCAGAATGTGTGTGATGTTTTAGGACTTGGTGACCTTTGAGGAAGTGGCGGTGGACTTCTCCCAGGAGGAGTGGGCACTGCTGGACTCTGCTCAGAAAATCCTGTACAGAGATGTGATGACGGAGAACTTTAGGAACCTAGCCTCTGTGGGTAAGGTTGGCCTCATTTCTTCGTTTCTTCAGGCAGCAAATAGCTTGTCACATATAGTGTCCCAAGATCCATGAAAAGAGTAACAAGCCCTGGCTGGGTGTCTCAGTTGGTTGGGCATCATCTCTTACACCAAAAGGCTGCTGGTTTGATTCCTGATCAGGGCACATGCTCAGGTTTTGGGCTTGATCCCTGGTAGGGGGCATGCGGGAGGCAGCCGATCAATGTTTTGCTTTCACATCAATGTTTCTCTCTCTCCGTCTTTCTTCCTCTCTCTCTAAAAATCAATTAAAAAATCTTCTTTTAAAAAGAAAAGAATAACGATATGTGGTGAACACAAAATGGATGGTCCCTGCCCTTGTGGGACAGTCTCATGGCTTCCCATGAATATGCACTGGTTTCATTTTCTCTATCATTAAAACATTCAGGTAATTTGCATTATATATCTGATTTTGGGCTTGGATTCATGGGACAGTCCCATGTAGGACATGGCATGTGGGTGTTTGTTGTGAAAGATCTCTGACCTGATCTATTTTGCTGCTCCTAAAGTTACACTTTCTGTCCACTTCAGGCCAGAGGATTGGAATTAATTTTATGGAAAGGTTTCTTGCCTCCCTCACAGTGTCCCCAAATCATGTCTTTTCCCATTGGCAGGGTATCATCTCTGCAAACACAGTCTGATCACTGAGGTGGAGCAGGAAGAACTGAGGCTAGGGGAGAGAAGAATTGTCCAAGGTGCCTGTTCGGGTGAGCCCCAGGCGAAAGGCGTCATTGTGTTGAGCAGCCATAGCTGGAGGGGTGGTGCTTTGGGGAATGTCAGTGTGGGACAAGAAGGCTGAGGCCATTGTGTGAGCTTTCCTTCTTCCACCATCTCTCCATTCGTTCCTATGTTGATCTCGTCTCAGAGAAAGACTTTTAATTCCTTTTAATTAAAAGACTTTGAATTTCAATTTCACATTTCCTTGAAAACTTTTTGTTCAGTTCTCCCTCCTTTGCTTTCCAGGTAATACCCTCTCTTATTGTCTCAAACCTCCAGAATCCATTCTAAGTAAAACACTTCCCATTTCCATTGCTTGTTCCTATCAGAGGAACAGAGGAACTAAAACAATTACTCTGGTCATTGGTTTCATCTCCTCTTTTACATTTTTCTTTCTGTATTTAGTGTTATTATTTGAAAACACATCTGCAGGGTGCCTGCCTTCTTTTTCTTTCATCCCTACTTTTTCTCCCAATAGTTATAAAAATTTTTCTCCTTCAGTTTCAGACTGGGCTACTCAACTTAAATCAAAATATGCAAATCCTATGCAGAATGTTCCTGGGGAAAACACTTCTAATGGCATAAAAACGGTAAGGTTCACTAGGGATGATTTCTGATTTTTTATAGTAGGAGAAGTCTGTGAATTTCAGTAAATTAAAACAGCAGCAGCATCCCCACAAGGAGAGACAGTTGAGGCAAGTGGCAGAAAGCTGTCTCAGGAAAGACTTTAGGAATCTCACAAAATTTGAGAAATCTCCAATCCTGCCTCAGCACTTGCTGCTTCACAGTAAGCAACTTCACAGAGAATACCAAAGAATAAACATTTACTTAAGTGTGGATTTGTTATTAAGTATTTAAAGCACAGTTCATTTATCCCTTACTCACTATTACAGAAATTCTGTATTTAGGATGCCCTTTGATAGGGATGAATACAATGGCACCTTGGGAAGCATTCAGCGCATTCAGCTTGAAAGAATTACTGAGGCAAAAATCGGACATATGCCCTAAAATCAGTGAAAATGACGGTCATAATAATGTACTTCCTGCATGTAGCAGAATCCATAGGGAAATGAATTCTCATACGTGTAATGAAAGTAAGAAAGCCTTCAGTCACCTCTTATTCCTTATTCAACAGGCACCAACTCACCCTGGTGAAGAACCCTTGGAATCTGATCACTTTGGAAAATTCTTCAGAAAGAATTATCACTTTACGTGTACAAGATATTGCAAGGGACAGAAATGCTACAAATATAAAGAATACAGGAAAGACCTTGGCCATTTCTTAACTCTTAGGAGTCATGTGAGCCCTCACTCTGAAGAGAACATTTCTGAATGTAATGATTATGGCAGAGCTTTCCATCCAGAGTCATCCCCTAGGGCCCACTCAAGAACTCTCACAGGAGAGACACCTTGTGAGTGCAATCAGTGTCTTCCGTCCTTCAGCTTACATGCTTCCTTTTCAGTACATGTGCAAAATCCTATTGGAGGGGAGCTCTGTGAATGCCGTGACTATGGAAAAAGACCTTCCCTTAGTGTGCACAAAAACTCGTGTACTGTGAAGGAAAGCTCAGAATGCGATGAACATGAGAAGGTTTTTGGTGGCCCCTTGTCCCTTCAGAAATGTGTGAGACCTCACACTGGAGAGAAATCTTATCAATGTAGTGACTGTGGAAAAATATTCATTTTTCACTCTTCCCTTAAGAAACATGTGAGATCACACACTGGAGAGAAACCTTACGAGTGTAGTCATTGTGGAAAATTCTTCAGCCAGAGCTCTCATCTTAATGTGCACAAAAGAACTCACACTGGAGAGAAGCCCTATGACTGTAAGGAATGTGGCAAGGCTTTCACTGTTCCTTCCTCCCTCCAAAAACATATGAGAACCCACACTGGAGAGAAGCCCTATGAATGCAGCGACTGTGGGAAAGCCTTCATTGATCAGTCATCCCTTAAGAAACATCGACGCTCTCACACTGGAGAGAAACCTTATGAGTGTAGTCAGTGTGGAAAATCCTTCAGCACAGGCTCTTATCTTATTGTGCACAAGAGAACGCACACTGGAGAGAAAACCTATGAGTGTAAGGAATGTGGGAAGGCCTTTAGGAATTCCTCTTGCCTGAGGGTACATGTGAGAACTCACACAGGAGAAAAGCCCTATAAATGTATTCATTGTGGAAAAGCATTCAGCACCAGCACTAACCTTATAATGCACAAACGAATACATACTGGGCAAAAACTTTATGAATGAAATGACTACAAGCTAGCTTTAAGTGTTCCTTCACAGCTCCTTCCTCACTTTAGAACTCACACTGGAGAGAAACCTTATTGTGATCAATGTGCCTTTAGGCACAACTCTCAACTTCCCCTATGCTGGGACCAAGCTTATTAGTGTTACTGTTCTCTGTCTGTATTAGTGAGTGTTTCATCCTTAAAGTTCAACAGCTCATTAATCGATGAGTATTAAATGTAATGTAGCACTCTAAATTTCCCTTGATTTACATCACAGAAGTTTTGATGTTTTCATTGTAATTTAGTACTAAATATTGTCCAATTCTCATCATGATGTCAGGACCTATAAGGTTATTTAGAAATGTGTTTTTTAATGTACAGACTCTGCATATTTTAGTTATCTTTTAGTTATAGATTTCTAACTTAATTGTATTGTGCACTGAATGTGTGGTCTTCATGATATAGATCCTAAATGACAAAGATTCAGGCAAAAAAATTGTTGGAGATTTGCTTTGTGGCCTAATGTGTCAGATACAAAGAGTTGCTGGCCTGATATCCATTGCTACCTTCCTTCCTTAGAGTAACAGAACTACAATTGTGTTCAAGTTGGCAGTGTGGACAGTTTTTTTCAGGACTCATCGCCTAGATTTCCTTGCAGCTATGAGTGCCCATGAGCCCACAGTCCTGACCAATGATAGTGAGAGGTCAGTGCTTATGGCTTTTAAAGAAAACCATGGAAATGGGAGCATCTCATCCGGAATTTTCTCTTTACCATTTCCCCTTTATCTTATCTCTTCTTGTTTCTTAGGAAATAAATGAAAAGGATAGCAGCTATAGGCTACTGGTTATACAACAGGGACATACAATAGTATTTGGCTGTACCAACCCTGGGTTGCTTATTTCTAGACTTCATGTAACATTAAAAAAATAAACTCCAAACTGGTTTAAACCACTCTTGTGGAAAGATTCTGTTAGAACAGATTTCAGTCCCAATGGATAGATCTCATATGTGGCCAAGTTTTATGAATCCTTCAATTATGGTTGAAAGCAATGTATATTCTTTAATTGTCAGATATCCTGATAGATAAATCTTACTCTATTAAATCTGTATTATTACAAACCTTATTTCCTGATCAACCAATGATTGGTGTCAATTATGCCAGCAGGAATCACCAGTTTGGGGTACAGTGAAGAAGGAGACTTTATTCAGTGCAAAACAGCTCAACTGTGAAACAGCACAGCTACGGAACAGCTTACTAGTGTTATAGCTCAATTATGGGACAGATGGCCCTGGGGACAGACGGCCCTGGGCTAGGCCCCTCTTTGGGCAGGCAGCTCTGCTCTGATCTGATGTGATCCACCCACTCTGGTCTGATCTACCTACTCTGGCTCTACAATGGTCTGCCTCGCTCAGCGCCTGTGCTGGTCTGCTCCACTTGGCTCCAGTGAGACATTCTTCATGTTTCAGCTCCAGCCAGGGAAACGCAGTTTTGTGTTCAGTGGAATAGGAATGTGCACTCCCAGAGGCAGAGGGGAGCTGACTTACATACACAGAAGTCCCTATCCCTGGTCCCTGATTGATCTATCCTCATGCAAATAAGGATTCCAAATCCTTGCAATTTGATTGGTTCAAAAAGCACTGCCTGATTGGTCACAGTGGATCTGTTCTGATTGGTCAGTGAAGATGTTGATGGATTTGGCTACACAGCTCCTATTGGAGGGGAAAACGCAGTCCTACTGGTTGAAATAGGATTCCAGGAACTCTATGAGGGCTGGCTCAGAGGGCAGGAACACGGTGCCCGCGGGCAGCTGAGTGCAGGCTTCTCCCTAAAGTGTGGTTTGTGTGAGAGGACGCTGTTCAGAAGCAGCCACTGGCTTTGTTTGTTTGTTTGTTTAATTCAAGCCCAGTTAAGCTACCAGGAGCCCTTTTTAGTAGTTGTCATCTTTCTTAGGGTCCACACAACTTACCCTCAAACAGTTTACCAAAAACTGTATGTCTTTATCTACAGAGAGAGGCAACATGCAAAATGCTAAAATGTATAAATCTATTTAGTGCTGGACCAGTTGTGGGATAGGCTCAGAATCAGCAAGGATGCATCCGCTCCTGTGGGCAGCAAATTGGAAAGTGCATGCATAAATAAGAAGTGGAGGCACCTGGGGTTCAATGGTGCCTGGCTAGTCTCTCTCTTGGTTAATAGTAGAAATAGCCACATGGAAGTTAATCCAAAGTCCCAACAGACATACAGGAATGTGGGCAGCCTTCTGTCACAGCTGTCCTGAGCTATTAACAGGCTAACTGTTCTTTCTCCCACTCTCTGACTTTGTAATTTAATTTAGGACATCTCAATTTTTTTTTTCTTGTTGGTTTCAAAATTAGGAGTTTCTTCCTGAGGGATGTGTTAATGTTACAAGGACCCTTGACCCTCAGAATCTGATAGTAACAAAAATGAAATGAATGAGAAAGGTCCCTATTTCAAGAAAGAGACGTTGCAGTGACAATTTCACTGGGGACATTGCAGTCATTAGTGACATTTCTACTGTAAAATCAAACATTTTGAAAAATGAAAATACCCCTTAGTATTTCTTGGGTACGTGATATCACTGATGACCTCAAGGAGACCAATTGTGATGGAGGCAGAGAGATGCCAGATGGGTTGACAAGCGTGAGAAGCATGGAAATGGCAAGTACAGACCTGTTTAAAAAGAAAAAATTCCACCAAGTAAATCTGAAGAACTAATTGGCTTTATTGAGTGATACAGGAATCAGCCGGCATCCTGTCCAGCAACCAGAAGGGCTGTCCCAGTGGAGGTTTTTATTAGGAAGAAGAGTGGGGCAAGCGAGCCATTAGCAAAATCAGCAGGAGGAGGTGCGGTTAGAGTTTTCTCTGGAAATAATTCAAGTGAGTTGAAAACTTTTACCTTTAGGCTCTATTAAATACAAATTTTTATTTCTTTATTTCATTTCTTTACTTTTTAAATGTATCTTTATTGTTGAAAGTATTACAGATGTCCTCTTTTTCCGCATCGACCCCTT